TATTTAACATTAAGAACATTTACTCAAAATTAAAAACATTTACTCATAAAAGCATTTATTTTATAATCAAGCTTGACCATGAGGTTTTCATACAGCAAGAATGCATCAATGACTATCAGATCTTTAATATTTTTGATTCGCAACTCAATATTAAAAATTTTTGTTCAACATTTAAAATATTCACTGAACCTTAAAAAAATTTATTCTCAAGCTTGAACGCGAGTTTTTCGCACAGCGGGAACATTTCAACGACTAACAGATCTTTTATATTTCTTTATGTTTCCATACTTTATTTCAATAAAATCAACAATGAAAACATGCAACATTTGAAAACATTTACTGGACCTCGAAAACATTTATTCTCCAGGTTGAAAACGAGTTTCTCATTCAGCTGGAACCAATCTATGATTAACAGCTTTTTTACATTAGTTCTTTCTTCCCCTACTTTATTTCGATATCCATTCAGCCGAAGAAGATAACAAAAAATGTCATAGTGATGATTTAGGGCGAATTATTAATGGCTAACCATCAATAGACCAATTAATGAAATTTATTTCATAATTTATGACCTTGGAACCATATCGGATATTCGATCCAGCGCCGTGGGTGATATTTCAGCCAGCAGGCAATGATTGTCCCGATGGTGTGGGCCCATCTTGGTGAGTGCAAATGATGAGCTTATGTCCCGATGGTGTGGGCCCATCTTTGTGAGTGCAAATGATGAGCTCATGTCCCGATGGTGTGGGCCCATCTTTGTGAGTGCAAATGATGAGCTCATGTCCCGATGGTGTGGGCCCATCTTGGTGAGTGCAAANGTGAGTGCAAATGATGAGCTTGTGTCCCGATGGTGTGGCCCCATCTTTGTGAGTGCAAATGATGAGCTTGTGTCCCGATGGTGTGGGCCCATCTTGATGGTGACTGCAAATGATGAGCTCATGCTAGAGTCAAGCGTGAGTGATGACCCACAACTTTCCCTGGTGCATATTTGGCTGTCCTGACACAGGTCACGCGCACGCGTCAGCCACGCACTTCGTCATCTGCGTGCCCACGTCGTCTTGCTGCATGTTTTTCTTATCTCACTTTGGCTTTTTAGCGCATTTTCTCATTTATGAAAAAATGCACTTTTGTGCTCGCTATGTCCGTCTGTCTGTCCGTCCGTGACTTCACGTTTTCGTCGACGAGAAATTGCGCTCTCTGTCACTCACTGCAGTGAGTACTGAGTTATATTTTTCACGTCTATGTGCTTTTCATACCTGATTTAGGGTTTTTTTTGTAGGTACTGAATATGCATTTGCTATCTGATTTTTTACTTTTTTATGCGATCGTATCAATTACGCTTGATTTACCGTGGGCGTTTGCTATGGCTAATTCATCACTTGGGCTAGGAATGAATGACGTGTTGTCGCACTAACAGAAATGATAAGAAATTGTCCGAATAGTGATGCAATTTTTGAGGGTAAACATACCTCATTTGGTCCGAGAAATGAGCGTCTTAGTTAGTGCCATGCGCCGAAAGTGTGGCATTATTTTGGCACTATGACTAATTTATTTTTCTCTGTGCATGATCGAGTGTTGGCTTACTATGACTCATATATTTTTGTCAGTGCATGGTCGAGTGTTGGCTTACTATGACCCATATATTTTTGTCAGTGCATGGTCGAGTGTTGGCTTACTATGACCCATATATTCTGTCTCTTATACACATCTAGATACTTAGGCCGCTATGTGTACGCAGGCCACTACGTGTACTTAGGCCGCTACGTGTACTTAGGCCGCTACGTGTACTTAGGCCGCTACGTGTACTTAAGCCGCTACGTGTACTTAAGCCGCTACGTGTACTTAAGCCGCTACGTGTACTTAGGCCGCTACGTGTACTTAGGCCGCTACGTGTACTTAGGCCGCTACGTGTACTTAGGCCGCTATGTGTACTTGGGCCGCTATGTGTACTAAGTGTACTTGTACTAGTTGTACTCGGGAGTTTGATGGGATGGCCTTTGATCGCTTTCACCTTATTGCGAAATTTAAGTAAAGTGCTGCATCTATTCAAGATCAGTCCGGCCTGGCAACTTGATCAGTTACAAATATCTGAAAAATATAAAAGAAACCAAATTTAAAATTTTTTAGATCCTAAATTATAAATGCACTCATTCATATACGTATTGTATCTCTTGAGTCAATTTATTACGAACTACTGCGACGAGATCACTACGTTATTACTTTAATTATTATTATTAATTGATTAACTGTTCACTTAGGTAACCTTTCCTTTTATTTACAATTAAAATTACCTAAATTGTTGATAAGTTATAGTTATAGCTGTTTCATTTATGCAGTGCGTATAAATATTTGAGTCCTCCCCGATGTTGGAAGCTCAGTGCTTCACAGAAAACTACCGTGTGATGGTAAACTGAAATTAAATTTTTTTTCTCGCCACGATCGTGATGATATGCCAAATTATGTTGGGAAATCAGATTATTTCTTCTTGAAATTTGATGTTGACATCACTGTAGACGCGGACAACTTATGATGCGGACAACTTATGAAGCGGACAACTCTCAAAACTAACAATTTTCTGTGATTTTGGGAGTTAAATCTAAACGTGCTTACTACGACATTTACAATAATTCGCATTAGAAAAATAGTTTTTGACTTCTTGGATAACAGAAGTACCTTCTTAAAGCGACATGATGAACACTCAAGCGCCTGTAAACTTATATTGGTATAGAAAACTTCCCCTCCGTGGAAATTACGAACTTCACTCTCTAATTGAAGAAAGTTATGTTACTAACTTTTTGTTTTGAAATTCATGAATGTCTCTCCTTGGCTATTTACCTGGCATTTAACATTAGTCTTGACTTGTACATGTTCAGCTTTCAGATGTATAAGTTTTATGATATGTTGCATAACGATGCATAAATTATCGGTGTATGCATTTTGCTGCCTCTGTATGTTACAGCGTGCGACGCTACTGATGTACAGCTCTATCTTAATTTTGTAATGATATAATGCTACGTCCTATGTTACAGCATGATTCGCCACATCATATAACACTGGGTTGTCGCTGTTACCTGTGTTACAATATGTCATGTGCAATTTACTGTCACATGGTTATGTAAGGATGCATAATATCGTGCTATGTTGTCGCACAAGATCCTCTCCCCGGTGAAAGACGGCGAAACAACTTTGATCACGAATTGATACCGTTGAAATAACGTATAATCAACGTTATTTCGGGGGCTCGCTCGGGTCAGGCTGAATCGATGCGCAAGAAGGCTGCCTTCGCGTTTGCGCTTTGCTATGGAGTGCGGCGCTTTAAAATTCCTCACCTGGGCAACCTTCAGTTCGATGCTGGCACTTCACTGAACTCTGGGGCCTTTACTTCACTAGTGAAACTTCACTTCGGTATTTGCTCAAAGTCTAATAACCGGTGTTTGTAATTACCCTCCCACTTTTATTTTACACTGCCGCGTTGCTCGATATTTTCGTTTTTTTTTTTTCATCGTCTTGCGATCACCGGGGTTAAAATCTTGGTCATGGTGAAAACTCGGTAGATATTGAACGACTCCAAAAGTAATGCCAAACATGTATGAGTGACTCTAAAGTAATGTCAGATACAGAGTAAGGGAGACTTTAAAAGTAATGTCAACAAATACGACTCCAAAATTAATGTCTGAATATGAACTGCAAGAGAAGCTTCAAAATGTGAAGCAGTACTAGAGTTATTGCGGAATTTTTTGTGGCATACCACACAAAATAAACAATTCAGGCAATTCTAAGCCACAAAAATTGCAGAATTCAGACAATTTTACACCACGAATATACAGAATATCAACAACTCAACATCACACAGAAAACAGAATACCGTCGATGCTGCATCACAGGAAATACAGAATATATACACTTCTACACAAATAAATGCTGAATACAGACAATTGTACACTACACAAAATAAAGTACAAGATTCAAACAATTCTATGCAACATACAGAATACCGGCATTTCTGGCCTTCCAAGCTAAGGAGCTGCAGCAACAGGGGCGGCAGCAGCGTGCGAGGGTAGCTTAGCAGCTGCGGCTGTTGCCAGTCAAGATCCTGTCGCAGTCCGAGCGTGACGTGCGGTGCGAGAGCTCCTTGTTTACCTTCAGTACGCCATTGTCTCGTTGTCAAGTCTAATTTACCGTTCTTGTGGTACCTTATGCATAATTTTTTCTTTTTTTGCCCTCTATCAAGGCTATATATTCAAGTAGAATGTGTGTGTTCTTCGCAGCACTTACCGCCGCTGCTAGTGCTTTTGCTATTGAGGACTCAGCTGTGACTGCATGTGTGCCGGTGCGTGGCGTTCTCTAGGTTTGTCAACTTTGCTTTCCTGTGAGAAAAGCTTCATGGTTTTCTTAAACACTTCCGTGATGAGCTCAATTGAAACTACCTTGTAACAATTTGATTTAGGTTCCAACAGAAATAAAATTTTCTTTCAATAATCACAGTTTCTGTGACATTTTTTTTATTTTGAATATTTGTTTCCGATAAACGTATTTTTAAATACTTTTAGCTAAAGACGTTGCAGCAGATCGTAACTATTTGCGAAGTAGTTATATTGTGCCTCAATTCGTCGAGATGCTTGCAATCTCCGTCTGTGTATATTACGGGATAAAATGATTTAGTATTACGTGAAAGATAGCATCACGCAAGTAGCACACTCAAAGATTGTATAATGAAAAGTTGCCTTTTTCAGGCTATAGTGGATGGGTTTTGAAATTAAACGTTGCTTATTTAGGCTGCAAGTGATCTTTCGCCTTGAACACTAGTTGGAACTGATTTTCAAACAAGAAGTTACCAGCATTAAGATTCGAATTATTTTTGGTTGAATGTTATTTTTTTATTAGTTGGATATCTTGATGATACAAATTTGAGCCGTTTAAATTACTCATGTATAATGTGCACTAGACATGTTGTGTTGTGCATGAGCACAACGAGTCTGCCATGACATGACGCTCCTCAAGCCATGGTAATGAACACGTTCAAGTCAAAGCTCCGTAAGCGGCGGGACGAGCTTTTCCGCCGCACGGCCGACGAAGACGCCGACGAGTGGCAGTTTGTGCCCTTTAACCCATCGGTGTTCTCGGGTGCAACTCTCGCTTCTTATGGCGGTGTCAGGAACGGTTCTGTGAAGTCGTCGGGCCCATTGAGGCCATGGGCCCTGCAGCGGGCCTCCTGGCATGACGGGGCCCCGCCTCCTGTACCTCCTCACAACCACCAACGGGTCACAGACCTGGGCCTCTATCTGCCTGTGGGGCCAAAATCGGAGCTTTACCCGGGGTCCGTGCCCCAGTGGTATGGGGCTCAGCTACCCGTAAATTTCTGTAACGGGTCGGGCTACCCTCAATCAGTGCCCTCAGGACAGTCGCGTCCCACTCATATACCTCCTGCGTGCGAGATCCCTCGACCTTCTTTGAGTGAGGATGACGAAGTCCTGTACAGGCGACCTATGACTGCCAAAAGAGACCCTCGTCCTCGGCCCGTGAGTGCCGGCAACGTAGCTTCGTCTCGCTCCCCTGACGAAGAAGTTGGTGCTGGATACGCATCCCCTCCCGTACCTCCCCACAAGAGCCCTCTTGACTCCCGAACCTTAGCTTCCTCTCCACGACACGCCGCGGTGAAGAAGTCCAAGAGTATCCCTCCGATGACATCGGCTGTCCCTTTTTCTTCGTATTCTCCTCGACCGCTGTCTTCTAAATCCGCCTACCGCGCATCCAACGCGACGCACAACAACCAAAACAACGCACAAAGCTTAGCTCCCGTGCCTGACCAGCGGGAGGAAGACAGCAGTTCCCCGTCGCCCGAGTACACGCTCCCTGTATCCTGCTCCTCCGACGCGTCCGACTCTAGTGACACTCCTCCTCCTGTGCCTCAACACAAGGAACCTTTTGCTTCATTCATGAATCCGCCACCTGCTTCATCAACTGGTCGATGCCATCACACGTTGGTTTCGATGCATGATAACATGGCCCGAGTGACTCCACCGCTGGGCTGGTCCTCATATTCTCGACCCGATGTAGCGCCTGTACTTCCCAAACACGGCCCCTCCGTGCCTCCTCCTGTTCCTCCACATCACGCGACTTGCCTTTCCCCTCATTTACAGAAGAGTTCCCCTCTAAGACCTCCTCCTCATAAGACGATGCTTCTGCCCAGTCGAACTGATGCTGAGAAGCCGCCAGTTCCCGCTCACAACACATGCCTCGCGTCTAAAGGGAAGAGACCAGAATTCACTGAAAAGAGACCTGCCGTGCCACCCCATGGCAATACTGATGTTACAGCCAAGAAAAATATTTCACCCGTTGTACCACGCCATCATTGTTTATCTTCCTCGATTTCTGATTTGCCTCCTCCTCCACCTCCTCATTCTGCCCCATTCCCTCTCACGCATTCCCACTCGTGTCCTTCAGGGCCATTGCCTGCGTCCCCGGATTTCCCTACCTCTGGTCTCGTGTCCGAGACCCCTTTGTCATATCCTAGCGGTCCGTTACCTCGTTCTCCTGATTCCTCTTTTGAGGAGTCGTCACCAACTGCCTCTCTTCCTCCACTACCTCCCGAGCCGTGCATCTCAAGTCCTGGGCGCGATAGCCCTGAGTCGGTTGAATGTCCTGATCGATCGCTGCCAGCTTCGCCGATCTCGCACAATGAACCGAATGGTCTATTACCTGTGCCGATGCCGCGAAATATTGGGATCTTTTCAAATCGAATGAATAATGTGGAGTCAGATTCTAGTTTGCAATCAGTGGATACCAGCGAAAGTAGTCAGAGTGTGTCACAGAACGCGTTACTTCCCATTAAACCTGCCGTGCGACGATCTCACTGTCGTCAGAGTTCGCTGCCGCCCCCTCCTCTTTACCAAAATATGTACCAGCCCGTGGAATTTCAATCAAACGGAGATCAACCAATTGCATATCAACGACTCGATGAGTGGTCGTCCGTCGAGCGACTGAGTCTCTCAAATCCCAACATCGGAGGCTCTTCGTCGAACCCTACCAGCGACGCTGACGTGTCATTGGATTCGTTGGGTTCCTCCACTAGTGGTTCACGCAACAGCTCTCGTCTGAGTTCCCAAAGCTCACGCCACAGTCCCTGGCTGATCCCGTCTCCTGAAGATGAGCTTCAAGGACTCGTTCCTATTTGCCAGCGTTTACTCGATTCTCCCCTCCATGAAAGTTGCGGAGCTGTTTTTTCGTCTGCTGATGCCACTCCATCGTCTGAAGCGTCCTCTTCCAACGCTCTGGGTGCTTGCGACAACAATAAATCGATTGCCTGCTCACAAGATAGCGATAAAACTGAAGTTCAAGCCACAAGCTTTTGCAGAAACAAAATTTCTGGAACTCCTGCTTCTATGACGAGCTCATCTCTGAATTCCATTGATGGCCTGAAATCGACCCATGGATTCGAGGAAATACGACATCAGAACGGCGATATCGAGCTGCTGCAGATCATAGAAGAACCCGAATCATTTGATGACGGAGATGAATGTTCTCTAGATTATTATGAACTGCCTTTCTGTCCTGATGACTCTAGTTCCATTCATTTCATCGACTCGACCTCTTGCTCCATGGTGTCATCCGCGATTGAAGGAGAAAAAGAAACAGATTCGGAATTTATCGATGGTCGAATTCCAACTTCGTTGCCGTTCACTCAAGGAATCGATGACATGAATTTCGATTTTTCTTACTTGATTCCTCCTCAAGCGTATCCTGAAGATGACTTGAGTATATCAGAGTCTCCTCCTCCTCCAGAAGAAATCGCAGAGGAGACGCCAGAAGCGGAAACTTTCCCCTTCTTCCCCACAGTGACTACGACTTGGTTTTCTTTCAGCAGCCCGGACGATGATCCCGAGTCATCTAATTACCCGCCACACCGTGACGATGTTACGGACTTGTCATGGTGCTACTCAGAGCCCAGATCTTCCCTTGGCGGTTCGTCGCCAGTTTCTTCGTCGTTTTTAGAGTCGGGCAAAAGATCGACAGGCTCCTCACCGTCGCCTGGTTATCAAAGCCACCTGTTGTCGCTGTCAAACTGCCTGCGTTCGTCAACAGTGCACCCTATGCCTCCGCCTCCGACGCCTGCCACTCGAGATGCATTAGCTCACCCTGAACCTCCTACGTCACTCAACCTCAGTAGACCTCGCTCTTCATGCTTCGAACGGCCCTCGCCATCAACTTCTTTGGATTTTATAAGCAAATTAGCGCGGCCTCGATCCTTATTTTCCGCGCTCCAGAGCCCCTCCTTCACGCCAAGTCCCAACGCCCAAACCCCGGAACAACTGTCGACTTTCGTACATGCAGGTAAATCGCGAATGATATTCAATTTTTTTATAATTTTACTCTCAATTTGTAATACTAAAGGTAATTTTTCTTGTTGAGTTTCGTTGAAATTCGTTCAGACAAAGAGTTATGCCTTCTCTTGAATTAAAGTTTGAGCTAAGTCAAGTAGTTATATTTAGATTCACGATTCCTAACTGATGATTTACAACCTGTGCGATTTTCTACGAGGTTGTCCTTGACTGCATTAGATGAGCAGCCAACGAACGTTGCGAGCATCCGGCTTCCCGTCAATTCCTGTGCGGCACCGGCGAGATTTTAGTAAATATATTTTTAAATAATTATCGAGATTTATAGCTTCTCGAATTTTGACGTGGGTTAACGACTTAATTTCAGCATTGCTATTAAAGTCTGGCCGAATTAACCTAGTTTTAATTTCAACAAATCGTTCCGCAATGACTTTGAAAAAGCTATCAATCGACGTCCAAGACTCCCGTAGATTAATTGTATTGCGTAATAACACATTATTATGCCGTATTTTTGATAGTTCTACCTGCCTTGTATAACACATGTTAGCGCTCATGTCTGTGTAACGGTAGTTGTACCATAGTACATTGATATCCTTCAGTAGCATGTACTATTTATTCAAGTATGCACCATTTAGTGTATTACTGTGTTGAAATTTCTAAATTTATGTTCATTATTGTGGTAAATGTTGACAAATCCTCGAACTTCATTTCACCTACGCATCGAACCTCTTAGCTTCACGAAGCTTCGAACTGCTTTTCGCCTTGAATTGAATGAAATATTGAAGCTCAAACTCTGGACCAAAGCGTAGGGTTTGAATTAGTTCCCAGCAATTATACTAGGGCTGGTGCTCCCGTTTCCGCTCCTGTTCACTCTTGCATAACGCGATCTGCTACACGGCCGTTCTTGCTGGTCCTCAATATAAAAATATCGTATGGTATTCAAATGTATTAGATAAAATCGATATAAATACATTAATGAGTAAGAAGGCATACTAAATGGATGCCTCTTTCCACTTGCGCTATATCAATTTATTTATGTGATAAATGTGTTTGTTTCCTCCATCTCTGCCTTGTGAACAGCAAAATTGATGACGTTACGAGTGATCCAATTTATACACATTAATGCGTTTTACTGTGGGTTATTGTGTAGGTATTTTTTTGTTCGGTATGCCGGCAACTTTGATTTTCTGGCCCTACGAGTAAAAGTGTCTAATATTTTAAAAGTATCGATATTTTATCTATAGAACACCCTAATACCAATCAGGCTTTTCATATAACCATTCGATCGTAAACCTCAAACCGAAACAACGATCGCTGCATAACTTACGATCGCCCCTAGCAATTAATATAGATTTCACGTAGAGAAATGAGCGAGACTTTTTCAAATAACGATGCACGTTTTGCCCTTGCTATGGTCATCCTGACCCAGTTTGCCACGAAAAAAAGGCGTCTCAGTACTACGTCTACGTGCGGAAAGTGTCACTATTTTGGACAATATGCCCCAATATTTTTCTGAGTGAACGATCCCTGCAGGTTCGTGACACGCTGCGTGGGGCAAACTCTATATTAGGACTGCTTGTTTACGGGGAAATCTCATAAACTTCTCCCTTCCTGCTTATCCATTTCTTTCTCTTATTTTTCTTTCGTGTTTGTTCGCTCATCACTCCGAGAAATCACTGAGACACTGTCCAAATAGTGATGCACTGATTGTCCTCGTGTAGACATGAAGCTCGTGTAGTTTTCACTCCACTCCAGCTTATCAGTATAGTTGTTTGTGCTTGAACAAGCAGCAATTACTATTACAACTAATTATTATCAATTATTATTATATCTACAAGATATTTTAGATAAGATTTTGTCCTTAGCATCAGTGTGGATTTTTTTTATTTAGTATTGAAAGCAATAGTTATAACAACTGTTAGAACAATAGTCATCTAGTAAATGAGTTTACGATCATGATAATTATTGGACAGAAATGCGGACTTTTAATGGTTGCACAGGTGCCTCATTAGCGGCATTGTTGAGTGGAACGTGGCTTTAGATATTGCTTGTTACTGCGCTCTTGTGAGGCTCGTTACGTTCACTCAGAGAAATAATGACTTGTCTAAATAAAGATTCTGTTTTTGGTCCTTGTGTGCGTCATTCTGACCCAAGTTGGCTCATATTAGCGCTACCTGCAGATAGTGTATCACTATTTGGACAATACGACCCATTAATTTTTATGAATGCATGGCTTTGGATCTTGAGGACGTCACTATTTTTGGACAATACGACCCATTAATTTTTATGCGTGCATGGCATTTAGATATTGCCGTTACTAGGCTCTAGTGAGGCTCGTTATAGAAGCATAACGCCAACAGAGGCTCTGTGCAACTGCCTTCGTTATGTGCCGTTAGCTCACCAGAGAATTGCTGCAGACTTTGCCTACTCTTTTGAAGTTATTTTGCAGCCGTGTGACCTACAATTATAGACTGATGAGTGTATTTTTAGAACACTAAATTCCGTATATATTTTCCTCGGTGCAATTATTTACCTTACCTCAGATAACATGTTGAACTCACCGTATTAGAATTTTAAAATAAATGGCATTGTTTTCTTACTAATAAATATTCTTTTCATATTTATGGTAATTTGAAATAAATTGTGGTTTACAATTGAATTCATGTATTCTCCAGACGAATGATATTGAATTATTCCCATGTGATAATGAAGGGGATAATAGAGCTTAGAATCGACCGTCGGCAAAACAACATCAAGCTTACCCTGATGTTGTAGCAGTTCCCGATGTGCCGTATATGAGCTGAGCTGACTAAGCACCGAGCACTCACGGAAATGAGAGAAACATTGTTCAATGTCTCATTCCTTGCAAGTTGCAACACATTTTCTGCGCTTGGGTGAGTTATCTTGACTCAGTTCGGCGCGACAAAAAGACGTATAATGGCTACGGTAAAAACGTTTTTAACGTAGGTCAATATCATGCATTAATTTTTTTGAGTGAATTCGTCCCAAAGCTTGAATCCTTAGGAGCCATAACCTGAGCACTCGGCGCATTGCTGCTATGTTATGATGGCAGGATATTATTCAGGGATGTGTGGTCTGTTGTAGGTCGACATCACCGACCTCTCGTCTGCTTATCTTGAGACGTGTAATGCAATTGTCTCGATGATATGGCGGTTGCCCATGTGAGAAGTCTCATCATTTTGCTTCTTTATTGACCTACCCTCTTTCTGCGAGGTATTCTCAGCCGCTGCGATGCGTCTTGGGAGCTGTTCTTTTCCCCAAATATGGTCCGTATTTACCTGTTGATCAGAGGTAATAAATTGCAGGTATTCTGATGGTAGCTACTATGCACTCACTTGAAGCTGTGAAGTTGTACCCTAGTACATTTGTTTCTATTGATATGCAGCCACGAATTACAGGTGTAGATTGATTACTTTTCATACTAATGATTGGTTTCTTTATTTCCGTAGTAATGTTCTAATTTTGTGTGTATAAGGAGCATATATAGACTTTCTGGGGCAGTGAAATCTTCTGTTTAATTTATGCTTGTCCAGCTTGTAGTTGGACGACGCCTTGCCAAAATTTCACTTATATTTATCATACAGATAAAAGTACATTATATGCTGCAGTTGTTTTTCTGTGCCACACTCAAAAAAGCGAATGCGTATTATATTGTGACATACTTTTTCTGCACGTCGCACTCATATGCGAATTTGCTGGGCCAAATTGGTCAGAACGACCCACACAAAAGCACCAGCACATTTTAGCACTGTCTCACTCATTTCTCTGAGTGACAACGGGTGCTACAGAAGACAGACGTGTTGTGGCCACAACGAGAGTCTCATTATCAGGACAAGCAGTCCACCTCCAACGCGATAGCTTACACTCACAGAAATAAGTCAAACTTTATCCAATTAAAGACACACAAATCTTTCGATTTAACGGCGACATTCTGACCAATTTTAGTCTGTCAAAATTGCGTATATATCTGTGCTTCTTCCGCTCTCTGCTCTTGATATGGGTAAGAGAGTGGGTTACAATTTGCACAATATGACTCATTAATTTTTCTCAGTGTACCTAGTCTCTGGCAGTCGCTGCTACCCTATTTATGAACTGGCTTGCAGGAGCTGTCCCGCCTGAGATACAGGCTCGGAGGTTGCTGCTCGATTGAAGCTGCTTCCCATAAATTGCTTGATAATTAACTTGTAAATTAGTAGTGAGTTCGACTGCGTATACATTTGATTACAAAGCGTCTTTGGCTCAAAGCACACGGTGCTTGTCGCATGCGTATACCAGTGCATACGCCGTTCGACTTCCGTAATCTACTGCAAGAAAATCCGTCAGTTAAAAACATTTTACAGTAGTCAATCGTTAAAGTAAACAGTTGGCCGTCCTATAATTACATGTCAAATTTACACTCTCGTGTTATCTATAAATTAAAGTTTTACGTGTGCTTGAGCACTAACGCGCTGCCACGCTTAGAAAAATGGATGGGCCATACTTTCCAAATACTGACACGCTCTATACGTAGCTATGATATGCCATTTTCCAGTTAAACTAGGTTAGGATGACGTGTACAAGAACAAAATATGCATCACTATTAGAGCAGTCTCTCTAATTTCTCTGAGTGCAGTTTCGCCTTCCCGTTATTGAGTGTATGATCGGAAGGCGGCATCTCCGGGCTTGTAGCGCCAAATGTGCATCGCTATTTGAACACAGTCCCACTAATTTCTGTGAGTGCAGTTTCGCTTTCCCGTTATTGAGTGTATGATAGGAAGGCGGCATCTCCGGGCTTGTAGCGCCAAGGATCCGTCAGTTTACGGAGCAAATGAAGCCCCGCGACGAAGTTATGGAAGCAATATCCCTGAGGTATACTTCAGATCCTTGCTCAGCATGGCCGCTTGCTCGTCCTGAAAATGCAGATTTTCTCGAACTGCTCCTTAATTTCCGATTACGTCGTTCCGGAGACCGGCTGGATTGGTAGGAATCTGGAGCTGGGGAAGGGTAACAAGCTGGTACAAGATGTGATGGCTTACTTGGTTAATTGTATTTGTTAATCGATTCTGTAGGAGGATGTCAAGAATGTTGAAAGCTGCGACAAATGAATTAGTATACATCAATCGGAGCGCGTGGCAGTGCCGAAAAGCAGTAATTTCAATGTATATACATGAATCTTATCGTAGTAAGGAAGCAAAATTTATGTAAACCAGTTAGTTTTGTGCTATTGCCATAATTTGTAACACCAGTACCACGTCAAAAATGTAAACTCAAGTATAGGTCGAATTGCTTTTTCGTTAGAGACCTTCAGAGAAATGCGGAAGTTTTTCTAGCTATGTGCATTTTTTTGCAATAGTGTGGATCATCCTGATCTAGTTTGGTACAGAAAAAAACTGATCCGTTCTTCGAGCAGAAACTTACTGTATTTGGATGATAAGTCTCAATAATTTTTTACTATTATCTTCATTTTACTCTCTAGCTCTCTAAAGTAAAGCCTTCATTCAGATAATTAATTTGTCATATTGTCCAAATATTGATACGCTCACTGCGCGTAGCACTGTGCACATTTGCAGGGTATAATTTGATCTTGTTGACCCACACAAAGACAAGGAGTGAATTGTTATTCGAGCTAAGTTTCGCTCATTTCTCTGAGTGTTTGCTTTAGGAGAATTATGTGCAAACAAGTCAGTTTTATGCTGGCCTCGCGTGCACTCCATGTTGGCCGCCGAATTTCGTGTCACCGCTCATAGACATCGCGGTAAAGTTGATCATGAATAAAGCAGGAGTCGCTGCCGGCGATACCGCGGGCTACCGCACACTCAAAGAAATGTCCATGGCATTGTCCGAATAGAGGCATAGTGGTACGGACAGTGTGGCATATCAAATAGGTACCTATGTCAGTGGTACGAACAATTTGTGTCACTATTTGGACAATATGTATATGACTCATTAATTTTTCTGTTTGCCGCGGTCACCTGCGTTACCCTCTCATCTGCTCGAATGGTATTTTTTTAGTTTTTTTTTTGCGCGTAGTTTTATAGAGCCACTACTAAGGCAAAATGTATGAACTGCCTGACTATAAACCAATATAAACTATACTTTTATTGTGGCGGGGTCCGTAACGCTGAACCTAGTAACCTTTTCGATATTCCGCGGTTGCCATGCACTCACTAAGATGAGGGTCGTGATGTGCCCTTAGTTACCGTAATCTGAGGGATTATTTATAGGTTTCACCGGTTTCACTCAGTAAAATGTTTGTTTTATTGTCCAAATAGTTATGTTGGTCAATTTGTTCACGCACTTTCTGCACGCAATGATACGCAGTTTTGCCGGGTGAAAAAGGGACAGGATGACTCACTCCAAGGCTTTTGAATTTTATGACGGGTTATTGTTACCAATAACTGGGCGTTGGTAGCGTCTCTAACGTGCACTCAGGGAAATGAGTGACACTTTGTACAAATAGTAATGCTGTTTTTACCGTTGTATGGGTCATCTTGACCCAGTTTGGCCTGCGAACGTTGCTAGGTCCGCTTTCTACTCGTACCGTGGGTATGGAAGTGAATCAGTATTAGGACAATATGACCCGCTCATTTTTCTGAGCGTATCATCCATTTGAAGGTAAAAGAAGCCGCGCATTAGCGGCTCGTGTAAATACGTAAGCCGCGGTAGTGTTACAGGCGCCGGGACTTTAGTGTCACTCCTGTGCTGCTTTCGCGGTGTCTGGTAACGCTGGCGTGCTTTACTGTCCTGCATTATACGTCGTTTCGGTTGATAATTATTTCCTTTCAGCATTTTGTTGATAAAGTAACGGCGATGTCATTTGAGCAGCCAGAACACATATGTCGCCGGCTTTCAGCAGAAACCATCTGTTAGAAAAACTTACATCTTTCCAGCGTAATCGAAACGGCTTCGCAGTTATTATTTAATAATCGAAAAATAAAAATTGTAGGTCTGACCGGTATTATGTAGTTTTCATTAGGTTTATTAAGCGAGTTACGTGCAGTATATATCTGCTGAGTGGCAACTCATGTGTCATGTGTCAGCAGTTCTGGTAGATGGTCAGCGTTGTGTACGGCAAGGTAAGCTGTTGGTTCCGCTCTCACAGAAATCAGCGAGACTTAGTCCGACTTTTTGCGCTTGTGTGGGTCATCTTGATAACTTCTGGCATGACAGATGGTCTTATCAGTGCTCGGTGCTGAAAGCGTGTTATATTTGGACAACATTACCCGTTAATTTTTCAGAGTGTACGGAATTCGTCTTATTTTTACCATCAGCTCGCCTGTCATGACAAGTTGCTGACGGCCGTCTTACACTGAGGGAAATTCATGAGACTATTTCCGAATAACGATGGACTATTTCCGTTGTGTGGTTATCCTGGCACAGTTCGACCCAACAAAAGGGTGTTTCAGGCATATGTTTAGATGGTGTGTCACTATTTGGATACTGTGACCCATTAATTTTTCTGAGGAGCGCATGACCCGTTGCTGATGTCCGCCCTGCGGGTTGACGCTTCCGTTCGGGCGGATGTTTTTGCCATGCAACTTGAGTCTTCTAGTGAGGTGATTGTGTGGTGATTGTGCTGTGATTGTGTGGTGATTGTGCTGTGATTGTGTGGTGATTGTGCGGTGATTGTGCCCTGGCAGGGACAGCTGTGCTTTGGGTCCGTCTTTGTGCGCATCGTCTATGAATTGGGTTGAAAATTTTCATCTCACAAATATCTCAACTGACTATGATATGATGATTCTTAAAAATGGCCGATTATTATCTCACTTGATAATGATTTGATGATTTTTAAAAAAATTAATCTCAATTTGCAATAACTGAATACCGGTAATTCTCAAAAAATACATCTCAGTTCAAAATTGACTTGCTTAACTATGATATGATGATTCTTAAAGAATTTACTCTCAATTTTGAATTATCTCAATTACATTACAGCTCAATTCAAAATAATTTCAATTGATTATGATTAAATGTTACTCAAGAAAATGATCTCAACCGACGCTGTAAAACGTAATTCGCGCTCTTACTTTTCGCGGTTTTGTGAGGTTGGTTGCGATATTATTTCGAGGCGTCTGAACATTTGGAGTACAGGCTGCGTGCTCTATCTCATGTTATTGCACTGCATCTTGGCAGGGCTTATTAACCTTATTTATTATTTATTATTATTATTATGTTTCTGGCGGAGGAACGTGCTCACACTCGCAAAAATGAGTGGGATTTTGTCCAAACAAAGATGCACTACTTACTCATGTAGAGGTCATCCTGACCCAGTGTTACTAAAGAGCATATCAGAGCTACGTACAGAAAAAGTCACTACTTGGACTATATGACTATATGATGCATTCAATTTTCTGAGTGCACCAGCACTGCTTCTCCATCAATGCTTGATTCTTAACAAAATTTTCGGCATGCCAGGGCTTTTGCGCTATATATATAGAAGAACATGATATACACAGTTTCATCACCGGGATGAACTTGCAGTATCAGAGCTGCAAGTAAGTACAGTTTTATTGCCAGCTTGCAAGAACCAATATTCGCCCTCTAATTTCGCATAGTTCGATTTACAACATCGATATACGCGAACATTGTTAAAGCATCGAACGTTTGAAAGTATTCTTGGCATGACAAAAATTTTTTATTGCATCGCTGGTGCAGGATTCCATTTTGTACTTGAACCCATTACCGTCACGACTGAAGTAAAAGCAATGGTCTTGTGAACGCAGCATTTTTTGTTTGTTTTCAACACATGGTTCTTTTTTCAGCATTTGCCTCTGCTTCCCCATCTGTATGGCAGCGGTCGTCATTCTGAGCGCCTGTGTGAGCCGTCGTAAAATCGATATCTTGTGTAGTGGCGACCAGCGTGGGAAGCCTCCGCTGCATCCGTCTCCTCATCGCCTACCTTCATCTTTCTCCTCTTCATTCCTCGTCATTCTTCCTCTGCATCAATCTTCATCCTTCGTCATCCGTTTCCTCGTCGCGTATCTTCATCTTTCTTCTCAACGCCCCTCTTCATCCTCCTCCTCATATTCACTCTTCATCAATCTTCTCAGCTTCCCTCTAATCTTTGTCATTGTCCTTTCGTCTTTTCTTCATTCTCCCTTTCCATCCTCCATTTTTCCAACTTCCTTTTCGTCCTCCGCCTTATCCTCTCCCTTCATCTCTCTCATCACCCTTATACTCATCCGCGAAAAATACGAAAAAGAAGTACTATTATTCAATTTTTTGCTCATTAATTATATTAAAAGATTCTAACCACAATAACCCAATGATATGGAATTATTTATTATTCATCATTAGTGGGATTCTCTTATCATATTATTAGTAGCAGCCTGCGGACAAACACTGTAGTTTTGTCTTGAATTTTAAGCTGTTTTTGTCCGGTACTGCATATTGGCTCTAGAATATGGATTATTGCCTCATTTCCTGTGAATTATCCATGTTCGCTTGGTCTATTAAATATAATTTTTTTGCTTCACAATTTATATAAGAACTCGTTGGGTCATTCTCAGGATTTTTTTTCATAATATACGCAATACATGTAATTATCTTTTCATAACTACTTTTTGTATGTTTGTGCTTTTTTGCTTATCATAAACTGCTTTTTCTTCCAGATTTATTCCAATTTACATTTCTAGAACCCTGATACCTTTGATACTTTTACTGATGTTGTACAATCTTAAAAGTTTACTCAAATAAATTAGGCAACGAAATAAAATTTTCATATTCAGAAAATGAGTGAAATTTTCAGTTTCCGACTTTCGGTTAAACTAATTTCGGTTAATTAGCTTAGCTTAACTACCACGGCAACGTTTATATCGCGCGTGTGGTTCGAATCTGGCAATAAATTTTATTAACAATTAGCGTTGTTCAAAAGCAGGCTTTTTGACCTCTCGCATATCGTTTCACTAAGTGGCAGACATTTTTCTGATCATTTAATTTCATGCTTTTTCGAGTCTGGGCTCTACAAAAAAATTAATTCTAACATGACTCTACCGTCTTTCCTAAATTATATTGTGGGGTGTTATAGGTATGACGTTTTGTTTTTTGTGAAAGTATGGTTTGAAATGCACGTGAAAACTAAATAACGGCTGAGTGAATGTCTCTCGGCTAGTGAATGTCTCTCGTGCCGGCAATACTACGTGTAGTAGGCAGAGGTGGGGGGTATGGTAAAGAAATGGTTGGATGGGGGAGGAAGGCGAGAGGGAGAACAGGTCGACGCTGCTATTGATTTTGTCCGCGAGCTGCGGCCGCTGCTGCCGGTGCCGATGCGCGCTCAAATAATACAAATCCGCTGTGGCATTACCAGCGCCACGACGCTCCATGTGCCATGGCACTTGCTGCTGCCAACATCTGTGTTAATTCATGTTTGAATATCTGAATGCTATCCTTGTAAAGATCACTCATTGCAGCCAACATCTGTGTTAATTCATGTTTGAATATCTGAATGCTATCCTTGTAAAGATCACTCATTGCAGCCAACATCTGTGTTAATTCATGTTAGAATATCCGAATGCTATCCTTGTAATGATATGTTATTTCAGCCAACATCGTGGCACATTTGATTTCAATACCCGAATGCTATCCTCTTATTGTCTTATAGGTCACTCATTCCAGCTAACATCTGTACGTGTTACTTCTTATTTCAATATCCGAATGCTATCCTCTTATTGTCTTATAGGTCACTCATTCCAGCTAACATCTGTACGTGTTACTTCTTATTTCAATATCCGAATGCTACTCTCTTATTGGTCACTCATTTCTGCAGAAATCCTACTGCAATAAAAAATTAGATACTCATACTGATGACGAAAATAACTCATGCAGGCGCTTCTGTGCATCAATTGAAATTCCGAAAGGAAGTTTGCGAGCTTTGCGAGGGCGCTTGAGGGAGCAAGCTACAGTCCATTCCAAAACACAATTTGCAGCTGACGGATTTACGGGCGCTTTTGTTTAGCTTGGCTAACTTACTGCTCGTTTTTAGCCTTAACCTGTCACTGGTAGAGCGTTAGACGGACTTGGCTCATGCCACTACATCGTATTAACTGCTTCAAGACTATAGCAACTTGACATAGATCTTACGTGTTCAAAGTATAACGGCTGCTTGCGTGTTAACAGCATAACGGTTAGTGACAGCTGCTACTTGTACTGGGATAGCGATTTTAGCATAGCGATTTATGGGGCTGCTCATGCAGTGTTTCTGGTGTAAGCCTTTGCATGATGGTTAATGACAGCTGCTCTTTTGTACTGTGAATACAATCGTAGCATGACGGCTAATGAGAGCTGCCCTGTGTTACTGGGATTACAATCTTAGCATAACGGTTATTGAGAGGTACTCTTTTTAACTGGGTTAAACTGCACGGCATTATGACTATAACAGAATCCAAATCTGTTCACTTCCAGCAAACGTTTCCTCGAAAATCACCCAAGTCTACTTGTAGAATCAGTGAAATTTAGCGCCACACGACCATACTTTAGCGTCGACAACGTGCAGGCTCAGATGATGAGATGAATTCTTTACGACCTCCAGAAGTACTGCTCATAAAGTTAATGTAGTCTCCCACTCTTCCATATGATTTTCTAGTACAGGCTGTCGCTCCCGATTTTATTTATTTAAGCAAGTTACCATGTTTCGTCTAAATAGGCATTGTATTTTAGATTTATTTTACATCGACTGTCACCTCGCAAATATTTCATTCGTACAATTTTTATTCATAATTAGAGACTTTGACCATTATTGAGTTGGTTGTGAAATTTACACAATTACATGCTAACTATTGTTCTTCTGTACTTGAATTTTTGGGTACGATTTCGATATAATCCTAAATATTCAACATTAAATTTCGACATAAATACGAATCTACGTCGGCTCTCAAATTTGCTTTGAACTACAATTGAATTACAAAATTATTCTTAGTTCAAGCGCTCTGGTTCTTCCTGTTGATCTTCTATCATGCTGCCTGCTTGAAACGATTATATATCACATGCAAGTAGGAAATTTAGATTGATCTTGTATTGCTATTTATTAGTTGTCTCTTGCTTTGTTTTCTTAGAGATGTGGAAGCGTTTACTCCAACTCACTGCGCTGCTAGTTCTCTGGTGGCCACCCGCACGAATTAGCGAGCTATCTAAACCTATCGAGGCCTATATAGTCTCTCTGGTCAAGATTTATTATGCCTCCCTTCTTTCTGATCGAAATTGAGAGCCATCCCGTACGCTGATCACGATTTACTGTCACCAACTACGCTGATAATGATTGAGTGCCTCTTCCATGATTGCAATTCATCTTAGTTTACCTTATAAAATTATTCGAATAAAATCTTTTTTTTCTGCAGTTTTAACATCAAACTACAGTTACGTAATTTAAAGTTCACATAACATTACAGTTTATTATTGGCTCTATTATATCTACGTTCTTGGCATGTTTTAGGCGTCCAGCATTCACTTGCCGGCGTGCATGAACTACGGATGGGAATGTTCTCCCAAGCCTGCTAGTGGAAAAAATGTATGCATATGAATTCAAACTCATTTTAGGTAATTAAGTAATTTTAATTCATTTGCCACGACATCGCATGGCCGCCCTTAAAGTCTTCGGTGGACAAGGAGCTTATTGGTCTTGCATGCAATTGTTCGCGTTAAACATCTTACACGTGACGCGGGGCTTCGTCGATATTTATAGCTACAGCTGTGCAGTTAGCGACCTAATTATTTGTACACCCCTTTATTTTCAATGTTTTCTTGAATAACTTGAAAATTTATGAATGTATGAGCCTAAGATTTAATTGAACTAAGCAGTATGTAAAAGGGAAAATAGCATTACATTTTCAGAACAAAATGTAATTTCTGAACGTTTTAACATGAAAAATTCCTCAACACCTTCAGACACAATTATTCGTATAGTTGGAAAACACTAACATAGTTGCAATAATAATAATAATCAATGGCATGTTCTTTCATCTTGGTAACCTTTAGCTGTTTCTTTCCCGCTGCGACTTGGTCGCCACGTAATATTTGTCTCTAGCAAATATTGTCTGCGAATTATTTTTTTCCGTCTTTAGTACTGAAGGTGTTCATGTCATATTTGAGGTTGTGTGAAATACACCTGAGATGCTCGAGGAATCACTGCTCTCTGCAGCTTCGTCGTGCCTGTACTTGATGCATCACTCCGAAAAATTAATGGGGTATATTGCCTAATTCATGTCGCACTTTCTTACCCATGATTCCGAGAAGAGAGCGGTCGTAACGCTAATACACCTCTTATAATTCTAAAACCTCTAAAATGTGTCATAAAACACCTCTAAAATGGGTCATTATAACTCACATGATCTTAACTTTTTTTTTAAAGTGCAAATATTGCGTTGCTATTCGGACGAATTTCCGCTCATTCCTCTGCGTGAAGGCTTAGTTACGTTAGTGTCGTTACGAGTCTCAAAGCTTTTAGCGCCGTGCAGGACTAAGGCTTGTAGCCCCTTGTTGCTTCAATGTTTTATAATTCTAGTTGAGTGGGTCCAAAAATTGAGATTCTGAGCCTTTTAGTGGGTCTTGGAGGATATAGCTTCATGCTCTCTTTATTACTTTTTCCTTATTTACACAGGAGATCATAAAACTGTATAAAAACGACGAAGAAATTTTTTTTTAGATTTATATTCTATTTTTCTCGCTCTGATCTTCTGAAACAGTTTTGCTGTTGCTGTCACTGCCAATTTACAAATCCGATGCCTGCCGTAAAACGGCTATGTTAATATGCTCTGTTCTAAGAGCTCGGCTCTAGCAGAAGCTTCGTTAAGAAGTTACCTCATGAAAAGGATTAAGCTCGCAAGCGCTTCACTAAACCATTGCAGGGATTCGCATGAAATTAGCCAACTTTGCTGCTTTGACCACAGCGCATGGCCAGTCCCGCCAGCATTTTGTAAATATTATGGGTCGTTAACATATAAATTACAATGATTAGATATCTCCACATACCTAATAATTTACATTCTGGCTTGAAATTAAACAGTTAATTGGACGCAATGGTGTATGATAAAACTTGAATATTAGTTGCAATATCACAAGAACGTCTTC